GCAAAATATGACGTTCCGTGATATAAGAATCTTCTGTATCTTCATTTCGTACCTATACAGGTTGATACGTTAGATAGGATGATTTTCTTGCTAGGTTGTAAGAGTCTGCGAAATTTGTCAAAAGGGCGCCCAAAAATGTTTCAAAGCGTTGTCTCAAGCTCTGAAAAGTGTGAATGAGACGTCGGAAATGGGTACCGACAAATGGAATGTGGAAGCTCTCGACAAGATCTTATTGATGGTGGAGTCAAAACTGGCTAATAGAATACTGATCTGCTACACAAAAATCCGATCTCACACAAGGACTTTGATAATTTTTTATGTGACCCCACACTTAAAAGTCTAGTGGCGCAATTAACCTGTCTTCGGCTAAAATGAACCGGCGCTCCGTCAAGTTGAGAATGTCTGCAAGAACTGTACATGTGTACAATGACCTAACAGATAAGTAAGTATAGGGAATGTAATATAATCATAAAAAAATGTGTTGGGATGCACATTTTCAGATTTAAATGATCAATGAGAGTCCGAATACGTTTAGGTAACGGTTTGCATGTAACAACTTGTATATAAACCATTTTAATTTGCATAATTTTGATCACCTGATGGAATGTGCTAGTGATGCCGCCGAGACGAGACTCAGTCTCGTCTCGTCTCGTCTCGTCTCGAATTTTCGAGACGAGACCGAGGTTCAGTCTCGTCTCGTCTCGTCTCGACGAGACGAGACTAAGCATGAGTCTCGTCAGACTCTCGTTTGGTCTCGAATTTGTTTGTATTTATTTGTACTGTTTTAGCGGAATAGTCTAAATCGAGAACAAAAAAAGATAAACTTTTGCGAATCGATTTCTACGAGTTCAAGGATCACTGCGGATTAGAAGTCGTGTTTCCGATTACGAGCTGTCAAAAAATTCCCTGAAAATCGTATGCGATTCTTCGTACATATCTTGTTTAATTGTGCCCACGGACACGGAGGCCATCTTGAGGCCTCCAGTTGTTGTGTTATGAGTATAGCAATTCACAAAAAAACAGTTCAATTAATCCGCTTCTGCCGCTATTTCCGGCTGGACAAAACTCGGTAGAAAAGAATTTTTCCTTAAAACCCATCGCCCTCAACCTACGGTTATCAATTTCAGGTGGTTTGGTTTTTGGTTTAATTTGCGGAAAAAAATTCACCGGAAGTGCCTATTTTTAATAACATTCCGGCCAGAAAAAGGCTGGCAGAAAACTCATTTTGTGTTATTCAAGTTGCAAGGAATCCAGTAACAAAGATTTCATCTTGTTAGCTTATCACTACTGGTTCCATGCGTCCGGCTCTCGTACCTACTATATTACTCCTATTATTTACTTGTCATGCCTTCGTAGTTCGTGGTCTTTTATATGCTATATGCTCATTGCTCTACCTACATACACTATATTTGGATAGTGTCTCGAGACCAGGCGAGACCAAACGAGACTAGACGAGACGAGACGAGACGAGACTGAACCAGGACGAGACGAGACTCAGACTTGGTCTCGTCTCGAGGTAACGAGACGAGACGAGACTTTCGAAAGTCTCGTCTCGTCTCGTCTCGCGGCAACACTAGAATGTGCTAATAAAAACGAACTCCATCGCACAACCGGCACATCAATGCACGGTCAAGCGAAAAAATCTTATAACCGATATCACGGCACTGTGTGTTGGTATTAAACTCTACGAAATAAAGAACGTTCAGGGTAAATTACCCGATATTTTCACGTTATCATCGCGTCCCGTAACGATGTCTATAAAGCAGGATATACAGAAAAAGTTGTGTATGCGAAAAGGTATAAAAAGCAACATTTCCTTGTTAGTGGTAGTAATAGTGTTAGGGAAATTACCCCCCGAAGCTATCAACCGAGCCAATGGTTTAGAAAGTTGAAAGGTTTTAAAATTTTTATTGACGGGCCTTCATTACTAGATTATAGTTTCGTCGGCAAGTTTCCCCTTAAATCTTAAGGAGTCGGATCGTCGCGTTCTCGCTAGAAATTTAAACTCGCTACTTTTCCAATTTCCCACGAGGCTAAAGGCAATGTCTAGCCTCGAACGGACGTTATATATTGTTTTTCTTTCCATACCTTTTTAAACATTAAGCCATTCCTATTTTCAATCTGGAAAATTATTTTCTTTTAAAGATGAAAGGCGGAAACGAGATGAGGAAAAAAGAAATTGTGATTATGCCATGTCTATACATTCACAACGCATCTAATGCGCCAGGGTTCATATTTTTCAAACGAAATATGAAACATAGGAAAACTTAATCCCAAATGGACGACGACGCCATAAAAACAATTTCAAGAGTGTCAAGGGAGATTTTGTCGATTTTGCTTTGTTTTCTGAAGATACATTGTCACTCACGTAGCAGCTACAGAGTCAACGTTTTAAAAGCGTACTTAATATTGTTATTATATTATTCTTCTTCTGTACGTGGCTAAAATTGTTACACGCCGACGTCCACGGAAGAGGCAGATAATTCATTTTAGATAGAAATTATGAGGTTTGGTAATTAATGAAAAGTGCTCTTCGACAGTTTTTCGCATAGGAAAAACTTAAACGATATTTTCATATTAAGCAGTATATACGCTTGTGAATGATCACCGAGGGTAAAATTTCGGAAGCGCCGAATTTTCCGCTTAAAAATTTATATTTTCAGATTTTTACATTGTTGGAAACTTTCTCCTCCGTATAGCGGCGCATGCATTCGCGCTCCGACGACAATAAAATTAAATACCAAGAGGTATTGTGAAGCGCCATTGAAATTTTCAACCTCTGACTGCAAGGTTTCAGGACAAATAGTTACCGTCATTTTTCTTTTTTCGATATTTTAGTATCTTCGATTTATACCGCATGCTTATGCAGTCCAAAAGACATACTCATAGATGGAGATGAACGTTTACACAAAAGTTATTGAATTTTAAAGAGTCTCATTTAGCTCTTTCAACTTTGCTCAAAAATAAATGTATATTGTGCCTATATATGTAGTTTCCTTAGCTATATTAGTTAAAGACAAATAATATTCCAATATAATATTATCAATAAAAACTAAGATGGAAAAACTAATAACCCTCAGTAGCAATAGCTGAATTATCCAAGGTATTTAGCGAAGTTCCACCAAGGCAGTGGCACCTGGAGTCAGGAAAACTTAAAAGTGTTGAAGCATTCTACTAATTTTGTGGATTCCTACGGACTGAGCAGTCCCTTTCCTCTTCGGCCTGTAATTTTTGGTCGCACCCTGGTAGAATATGGCACAGGATGTATGTCTCTTAATTTTTCTGTCCTTTAGTAACTTTTCCCAATATTAGAGCCAATTAACGAAGCACTTAAAAATTAGGTCGATTACCTCTAGGACAAATGTACGCTATTGTCCGCACTTTGTCCGTCTGTATACCACTACTTGTCCTCTAGTTTAAGGTTTTTCGTTGTGGTTTCTTTCTTATATGGTGTAGCACAGTCTCGAGACCAGAACGACAAGACAAGATTTTTTGGATTCGTCACTTCCTTCCCGAGTTATTACTGATTCTAATGCGGGGCTCATGCGCTTTCGTCGATCGCAAGTGACCACGTCTATACTAGTTTCGAGATTTGAAGGGTTCTAGTGATTCTAATGGCCGTTTGCACTGTTATATATTATTAGAGTTGGCAACAGTGTGTTATAGAAGTTGGTATTATGAGTTTACTTTCAATAAAGAAATATAAAACATGGCGCAGTCGGTAGGATATTAAATTAATAAAAAGCTTTGTGCACTGTTTAAATTAATAAAAATGAGTGACGTAAGGTTGCATATGGGGGATTTAAAATTTTGCCTTTAGGATCAATAGATGTAAATTGTGTATTTAAAAACAAGACGTTTAAGGTACAATTTATTGTAGTTAAGGGTAATGTAACACCTATACTAGGTTTAGAAAGTTGCATAAAATTAAATTTGATATCTAAAGTAAATTCAATAGTAAGTATAAATAAGGAAAATTTTATTAAGCAAAATCGAGATGTATTTACGGGACTTGGTAAATTTAGTAAACAATGCACATTTTAAAGTTAAAAAGTAATGCACAACCAGTTGCAAGACCACCTCGTAGAATACCCCTCGCAATTAAAAATAGATTAAAAACTCAATTAGATAGTTTACAGAAGAGAGGTATAATTTCGAAATATGATGAGCCTACTGAGTGGCTGAGTAACCTAGTGATAGTAGAGAAAAAGGATAATAGTTTAAGGTTATGTTTAGATCCACGAGATTTAAATGAAGCTTTGGATCGAGAATTCTGTATTATTCCAACCATTGACGAAATACGATCGAAACTACAAGGTCAAAATTATTTTACAGTTTTAGATTTTAAGGAGGGTTTTTATCAGGTTGAACTAAGTGAAGAATCTCGTAAATTATGTGCGTTTGGTACACCTTTTGGAGTTTATACATTTAACAGACTTCCATTTGGACTCAATTGCGCACCTGAATTTTTCCAAAAGTTAAATGATGAAAATTTTGGAGATATAGAAGGATGTATAGTGTATTTTGATGATTTACTTATTTATGGGGATTCTCAGGAATCACACGATAAGGTTTTAAGTAATGTTATTCGTCGTGCTAGGCAATTAAATGTAAAATTTAATAGCAATAAGATTAAGTATAGAGTAAATGAGGTGAAGTATCTTGGTAACAAATTTAACAGTGAGGGAATGCAACCAGATGAGGAAAAAATTAAGGCAATTTTGGGTCTTAAGCCGCCCACAAATAAAAGGGAATTGCAAAAGATTTTAGGTATGATTAATTATCTCAGAGCGTACATTCCTAAACTGTCAACCTTGTCTGCACCTCTTAGAGAATTGCTTAGAAATGATACAGTATGGATGTGGAACAAAAAACAAACTGATGCTTTAAATGAGATAAATGCGGTAATCAGCTCGCCACCCATTTTAGCTAATTTTAACGAAACAAAACCAATTGTTATTCAAACTGATAGCAGTCAAAGTGGACTTGGCTGATGCCTAATGCAAAATGGTAAACCTGTTGCATATGCGTCGCGTGCCTTAACAGATGCTGAATCTCAGTTCAGTCAGATTGAGAAGGAGTTTACAGCGATATTATGGTCCTGTACAAAATTTCATAACTTCATTTACGGCAGACAAATCATAAATCACTCCGATCATAAACCATTAGAATCGTTGATGCGGAAAGGAGTTGCTGAAGTACATTCGCCTAGATTGCAACGGATCAAAGTCAAACTTTTAAAATACAACTTGACTGTGATTTACAAACCAGGAAAAGAAATGTATATTGCAGACCTGCTATCACGAAACTATCTGCAAGAACCAAGACAAGACGACAAATTTATTACAGAAGTGGTTCACTCCATCAATATGACCCAAGAGAAGAAAACAGAATTCCAGGAAGAGTCTAGACAAGATAGCGAAATACAGAAGATCATGTTTTACCTTATCCAGGGTTGGCCATCGGACGTTTCAAAAGTACCAATTGAATTGAAGCCGTATTTTCAAATTCGTAACGACCTCCACAGTTTTGACGATCTACTATTTTACAATGACAGAGTTATTGTACCAAAATCGCTCCGTTCAAAAATGCTACAATTTTTACATGAAGTGCATTTTGGAATCACAAAAACCCAACAGAGAGCTAAGCAGATATTATTCTGGCCTGGACTTAATGGTGACATAGAAAACGTCGTCAAAGAGTGCCCAGTGTGTGAAAAGTATCAAAGAAGTAATGTAAAAGAACCAATGATACTGAGAAAATTTCCAAAATTACCATTTGAAAAAATAGCCAGCGACATATTGGATTATGGAGGACAGTCCTACTTAGTAATCATAGACTACTACTCGAAATGGTTGGAGATCATCAAGTTGGAAAGAAAGACGTCGCAATCGATTATTAGGGCGATGAAGACTGTGTTCTCATGTCATGGGATACCTAAAGAGGTGTATACCGACAATATGCCGTACAATTCCCAAGAATGCAGGGACTTCTCTAGAAAATGGAATTTCCAATTTGTGACCTCAAGCCCCCATTACCCCAAATCGAATGGACTAGCAGAAAGAGCAGTGGGTATTGCCAAAAATATGCTACGGAAATGTGAAGACTTGGATTTGGCCCTTCTTGAATATCGAAACATTCCAGTCACAGGAACAGATAAATCTCCTGCTCAACTCCTAACGGGCCGATTTTTAAGAACAAAGCTACCTTCTGCTAACCACATGTCAATTCCAAATCCAGTAAATTTTGAGGAAGAAAAGAAGAAGCTAGAAGGACAGAGAGAAATATACAGGAACTACTACGACAGACATGCAATGAAAAGGAGAGAGTTTCAAGAAAAAGACAATGTAGTTGTGCAACATGGCAAAACTTGGGAACCAGCAGTAATTACGAGAAAGTTGGAGACACCCAGGTCATACATTGTGCAACAAAACAATGGTCGGTATGTACGAAGAAACAGTAGTCATATTAGACCCTCACGTGGACATCATGACATGAAACAAGATTTTCTGGACTTTGAACAGCATCAGGAAAATCCGGTGCAAACTAATAATAATAATAAACAAACCAACATTCAACCAGTTCATAATAGTACAAACTTTGCCCCAAGAAGGAGCAACAGGGTTACTAAACCACCAACAAAATTTATTGATTATGAATTGAAAAGAAATTGAAGCATGAGGTTGTTTTGAGTTTAGTTTAACTAGATTAAGTGATTAAAAGGGGAGGTGTTATATATTATTAGAGTTGGCAACAGTGTGTTATAGAAGTTGGTATTATGAGTTTACTTTCAATAAAGAAATATAAAACATGCACCAAGAATTTTTCAAGTGAAACTTAATTAAGTGTCACTTAATATTTAAGTTGCACTTAAAGTGAATTCCATTGCGCGTAAAAATAATAAGTAACACTTACCTGAGTGTCACTTTAATGTCAATTTGAACTAATTTGCACGTAAATCAACGCAGTATCTATCTTCGTGTTATTCATTTGTCACCTCAAAACGTCAAAACAGTTTGTTGTATAGTAGTTTGATGACAGTTTGCGCAGTGCAGAGAAAATTAATAATTAATTATTGAGTTGAAATGAATGGAATGAAAATGAATGAGAACGAGGCAAAACGAGTGCGAGAACGCAGTGCAAATTTTACTGCCGATGAGAAGATACTATTACTTAATTTGATATCCAAACATAAGTCCGTCATAGAATGCAAAAAAACTGACCAAATTACCTCAAAAGAAAAAGATTTGGCTTGGGATAACATCCAAAACGAGTTTCAAATGTGTAGTAAGGTGTATCGAACGAAGGAGAGCATAAAGAAATTTTACGAGAATAAGAAACGAGACACACGGAAAGCAGCAGCTGCAGATCGTGCGGAAAAATTCAAAACCGGTGGAGGACAGATTGAAGATACTTTAAAATTCTCTGATCCTACCCTGGAGTTAACCATGGCCATCATGAATAAAAAGTCTGTGAGTGGATTACATAATCCATTTGATGATGATTTAAGCGAAGAAAATGTTAATGTTGGAGATGCCCTTAACCTTAACAATGATGAACTACTATTTGTATTTGAAGAGGTAATTTTAATTTAATATATTTGTCTCCAATAAAGCTATGAGTAATTATTATTTTAGGATAAAGAAATGGCAGAACAAAGCTCACCATCAACCCCAAATGAAACTCCTGTTTCATCAGCACGAAAAAGAATTCATGTTAGTTTACACATACAAAACAAATTTGTGCTATATTTCTTTTACAGGAAAAAGACGACTGGGCATCTTATAAAGCTGTAGATTTAAAGAAGCAAACGAGTTGTAAATTACGGCAGCCAAAAGCAAATTGGACATCTCGTCGTAGACCTGTGGTCACGGAATCTGGTAACCTGGCACTTCAATATGAAAAATTGGCTGAAGTGAAAGCAGAAATTGCCAATGAGCAGTTGACTTCCATAAAGGAAGAAAAAACTGAACGAGGTTTGAAATTGGAAATTTTGAAATTGGAAAAGGAACAGAAATTGTTAAAATTGAAGCAACTTAAAGAAGAAATAGAATTGAAAAACCAATCATTTCAACTTGATATCCAATCTAAACAGTTGGACATTGAAATTAAATCAGCTGGAGTATTTTTCAAAAAAAGCAACTTAAAATTATCATACCAATATAAAAATAGCATGATTAAGGTATATGTATTTTTTTTAATGTTCCCATTAATAATGTTAGGTTTGTTGCAATTTATAGCATATGTTGTTTATAATGGTCATGTGTATAGTGAAAATTAAAAAAAAACTGTTGCGTGAAATAGTAGATATGAAAATTAAAAAAAAAACATTTCAATACTGGGTTTATTGCAGAGGCCAATTTTTTTTCTTATAAATTTGCAAAATAATTATTAATAAGCTCATGTCTGAATCCGACAATTCCTATACCATCCATATTGGGAACAGGTATGTTACCGTTTTGTATTAGAACATCTAATTCGTGAATGTTCACTTCATCAGGTAGGTTAGGCACGTTTAGGTCACCAACTTGTAATGCTTTATTATGCAGAACTGAAGTAGCTATGATAATGCTCAGAGTGCTATTTATTAAGAGACGACAACCATCATATGCTAATATTGGAAATCTTCTTTTGATTACACCAAAACAACGTTCTATACAATTTCTTGTTCTTATATGAGCCTCATTATACAATTGTTGAGCTGGAGTTGCTGGGTTTAAAAGAGGTGTCATCAAGTATCGTCCATTAGGATACCCGCTATCTCCTATACAATAATTTAAGTTTTTAATTATTTTATGTTTGTATTAAAAATCATTTACCAAGTAATAACAGTTTTCGTAAATATTTTGTTCAAAATTTACACGAACTCTACTGTTGCTGAATATTGTGGAGTCATGACTTGATCCTGGCCAGCGGGCTACTACATTCATAATCTTGAGATTGGCATCACATATCATTTGTACATTAATGGAAAAATAACCCTTTCTATTTCTGAATATTTCTGGGTCCTCTCCTCCTAAACAATCACAAAACGAATTTAGGTGTAAACAAAACATGTCCGAAAATATTACCCAGTGAATCAATCTTAATGTGAGTACAATCTATAACTCCTACGACCCTCGGAAATGAGGCTATATTGAAAAATTCTCTTTGACAAGCCATCATATCATCTGGTGTGGTTGCCATTTGAATGTATTGTCTGTACAATCTAGCGATGGCTTCTGACACTCTTCGTACAATTCTACATGCAGTTGATACATGTACTCCACAAAAATCGGCAACACTAAGCAAATGCCCACCAGTAGAATAAAGGCGTAAAGTTAACAGTAACTGATTCATGGGAGAAACACAGTTGTTTCTGTAATAATGTTCACAACTCAGAAATCTCATTATATTGAAGTAATACTACAACTTACCTATCAGTTGGAAATTCTAAATACATTTCAATCTGCTGCAAAATCTCAATAGCACAAACTTTACTTATTCGAAATCGCTTCCGAAAGGACTCATTGTCATATCCATGAAAATGGTCATTCCTGATATATATTTGCCTTCGTAACCCTCCATTTATTATGAAATCAATAATTTCCAGGTCATCATCATCATGTATAATGTCCATTTTTGGATTTTTTTAACGATGCCATACGAACATAACCATACAACCTATTTAAGTTGTCATCAGAGCACCACTTTACTTAAGTAGGCATTTTCACGATTTAAGTGACACTTATGCATTGGTGAAATGACAAGTATACTTTAAGTTAAACTTAAAATTTAAGTGAAGCTTAAATATGTTGGTGCAAACGGCCATAAGCACTCTAGGGCTGTAGGAACACTTGCTTGGCTTGAATTGCGTCGACAAGTTATCGACTATGTTGCAAAGTGTACAGAATGCCAAAAATACAAAATTACGAACCTGAAACCTTTGGACTTGCTACAAACTCCTGTACAAGCCTAGTGTTTTATAGTGGTCGCAATCTCAATTGACTTGTTTAGTCCGTTATCAGACACAGATGCGACAGTCGAATTGACCCACCTCCATCAGGGAACCGGAACAGAATATTTTTCAGGGAATAGACACGGGATTTAATAATTATTTACATAAAAGTCAGGAAAATGACACATTACTGACGAGGAAATATTGAAGTACGAGGTCTCCTTAGGGCCGAGTGCTTTAATTTCCGAGACAATAAAGCAGCAGATTAAATGTCCCGTTAATTACTTAATCCCCAAAGATTATAATGTATTTGATTAGAAGAGAAATCGAAGTCGAAGGTTAACGCCGTTCTCACCTAATCACAATGGTCAGCTGAAAAGAGCGAGGACAAACAAGAGGTTATGTATGTAAAACCAACGGGATCAGTTTAATCCCGCAGTCTCTATCGAACTTTACGGAATATATTTCAGAGGATCAGAGACAATCAGTGAAATGTGGAAAGTTCACTTGTTGTAAACTAGGCAAATGGCGTCGAACGGCAAAGGGAAAAACTTGTTCCGAAGTATATGGGCTTCTGCACGAAATGAAATTCATCCCTTACTGCGAAAAAACATGCAATTCGACAGTTGATAGAATTTACAAAAGAAGACCTTTAAAAAACGAAAGCAATTTTCAATCATCCTCTAACGACAGATTTCTATATCCTTTAACAAGGACGTACCTACTCAGCGTTTTATACGGGAATGTAGGCCCTTTCATAGGTTCCTTCACCGATTTATTAGAATAGAAGGGATTCTCTGACTGCACACTTTTAAAATTTCTTTTTGCATATATTTATATTGTGCGGGACGAGGCGAAAGCGCCGCACGTGTTTAATCGCGGAAAATGCGCCAGATTAATCTTAGGGTCATACATTTTCTACGCACGACTTCTACAATGTCTCCAGGGGTAGGTTGAACAAGGACGGAAGTTCTTGTTCGGACATCCGATAGTAAAGAATGGGATGATAAATGTGGACCTTCGAAAGCGACAAATAATCTAAAACGTGTGTTCTTTGATAGTGTTTGTGCGTGATCCTCTGTAATACATCGACGCTTCCGTCGATAAATAATTTGTAGCGGGAAATTCGTTATTATCTCACCCTTATATTTCTACGTCACGAGAAGACTGGAAAAAAAACACAGATTTTACTTACCCGCAGCAGGAGAGAGTTTCGTTACGACGCCCCAGCGCTGCTTCCACTGCAACAAACATTAGGGAAATTAGTTCTCATGCTACCCCCTTTATCATGTGTGTGCGCACCTAAACTACATGTACTACAGCAATGCGATTTTATCTCTGCCACAAACTACATGTTACATATACCATCGCTTACAATGCATTTTGAGCAACCACCAAAAGGCAGATAAAGTTTCGAGATAAAATTTATTGCCCTCCAAAATCAGGGGAAATGCTCATCTTTACGCGATTACTTCAAATATTTATGTTGAAATATTACCTAGACCGTTGTACGCGAAAAACAATGCTTTGGGGGTGTAAACGATTTTTTGATGTAAATTTCCACGCATGGGATAACCGGTAAAATAATAACCTTTCGTGTTTACACATTTTATTGTTTTATGCGCCGTTCGTGCGAAATTTGGCGGGCGACATCCGTGTCGATACGCCTTTCGATTTTAGTAAGAATGGTTTTGACGCATTGGAGGATCAAATTCTATACAGATTTTTTAGGACTGA